TGTCATATTTCTTGATTCCTCTGTCCCTCCTCAATGGGACCAAAAATAGTGTTTGCAGGAATCAAATACCAGCCTTAACTTGTACATATACCCAAGATCATGTAAGTCATTACAATGTGTTTTTGAGAGTTGCCACTTCACTGCTCTATAAAAAGCTTCCTGGAAAAGTATTAACAGATGGCCTCTTATTCTCTGAGACTGTTAGTAGCACACCAGATGGCAACCCAAATGAGAAGATTCAACTGAAATTCTCCAAACCAAAAGAAATGTGATACTAACTTTTTAATAGGTATATACAGCATTAGAGGTAGCAAAGAAATGATCAACTAAGATAAAAACTCATTTTCTTGCCTTATTTCAGTGTGAAATCCAGTCTTCATTGTCTTACCGGTTTGTCAGATAGTTCCTATAATAAATGCTGGGAATGATTTGCCCAACACAAACAGAAACTTTATTCAAGATGACTGACAGATTTATGAGGTGTAAGGCTAGTCTAAAGAATGAAAATACAATGCAGAGCCCCAGGGACAAGTGCTCTGTGCCACGGACACTCCTTTCTCTCCAGGACCAGTCATTAGTTTGTAACATTTTGCTGTTATTGTTAGAAATATTAGACCTCAGCTCAACTGTGAAGATTTTGACAGGGAGGTAATAACTGTTCTAAGATACTCATCATCCTTCCAGATATATGACTCATCTACGGGTGAACACAGGTCTGGGATGAGTAGGGTTTCCCCTCCAAGTCATTACTGCAATACTAATTCTTTATCAGGCACTTTTGAATTCCAAAGGTATCTTGCCCCATTAGGGTTCAGAAAAGACCAATGAAGCGTGTATGTCTTGGTAGGAAGCTATCTTTTTCCCATCTTAGGCTACATGAGTACATGGGGATGGTTTCATATCAGAGAATCCCCAAATAGAAATGTTTCGAGAAGATCATGGACATCTCCTAGCCTGGCATTACTCCATTTTTGCAAACCACCTTGGATCTTCAAGTATAGACCCAAATGGGCACATTGTACATATGAACTGTGGCGAAGTGGCTGGCAGCGTGGTCTGAAGTATGAACATACAATATTAAAACATGTATATACTTTTTTAATCAGTTGCTTGGGGAAAATGGTGAATTATGGCCTCTCTGACTATACAAGGCTCTAATAGAGAGTTAAACCTGAAAAAATCTTAACCTGGACCACTGCTTTCCTCTCTTTTCAAGTATAGCTCTAATGCAGTCTGGGGTATACACAAAAGTAAAGTGGATGCTACAAAGCTCATCAAATGTATGGGAGCTCATTGCAGTTTTCTTGTGAGCTCTTGAGACAATTAGTTTCAGAAAAAAACTGTATTTAGTCCATTCTCTAATCTTTTTTTTGTTTTGTTTTGGTACTGGGGATCGAACTCTGGTCTTTGTGCTTGCGAGTCAGGCTCTGGAATCACTGAGCTAAATCCCCAGCCCTCCATTCTCTAATCTTGTGGATCCTCCATACCTGTGGAGTCATACCTGTGAGGATCCATTAATTGGAAGAGACAGACATGTTCTAGAGCTCAAGGGAACAGGTACTATCTAAAGAAAGAATGTGTTGATCAAAGAGACTGAATAGCATAGGAGACAGTTCAAAGAAGCACAAGTTGCCATGTGTGTCTAAAGGAGAAGGCTCCTGGATCTAGGTTAATGAGGAAAGAATCTTTGCTTGAAGACAGAGACAGAACACTGAGCTTCCTCCATAGTAGGGTAAAACTTCCTATCCATAGGCCACACACTTCTCTAAGAAATAAATGATTCTGTTTCCCAGGTCTCTGGAAAGTAGACACAAAACCATTCTGGATGCTGGAAAGCAGGAATTCTCACAATAAATTCTTAACCTTCTTGCCTTATACAAGTACAGTATATCACTGTCTGGTGTTTCTGTCAGATTGAGTCTATCCTCACTTGCGGTATCCTGAGACAGTTCAAAACTGGGAACTAGAACCAAGAACTGGAATTCTTAACCTGGGGTCCATAGTCCTTCAGGATAGATCTTTAGAAGTTCAAGGAGCTCCCTTAAATCACACGTATAAAAGTGAGTATATGAACATATGAGTATACAGGAATGTGGAGCAAACCATGTGTTCTCTGAGACCCTTCACGTAGGGTATAACTCAAAAAAGTGAAAAATAATTTCTCTAGAATATGGAGACCTAACCAAGGAGCTGCCCTTGAGAAACCACCCTTACCACCCAACATTGCACATAGATGGCACTTACAGAACTAGGTGGCATTGTTGCACCTCTCCCCCAAATTGCAACAATATAATACCTAAACTATGCTAATCAAAAGTATTCCTACAGTATCTGAAACTTGTCAGGAAACATTTTATCACTTCCCTCAGTTATTTATCAAAAAGACAGCCATTCCCAAAGTCAAATAATTCTCCTTCTATTGGCTAAGAATCCCTCGCCCCACATATAAGATTGTGTTTTCTGTACTGCTAAGTCTTAGAGTAATTGGATCATCCTTCAAGAATTAAAAGAGAGGCCTAGTGCCAAACTAGCTCTGTTCAACACAAAAATGTCTGAGCTTTCTTTACTGTGCAATGCATTAGGACTCAAGAAGCTACATTAATCTCATAATAATTAAATGAAACTACAATTGCCAATTAACAGAATAGGACAATGTATGAATTTGCAAACTACACAGATGTCCTCTCAGACAAAGAAAGCATTTCTGTAAAGTCAAACAGACTGATAATAACATCACATATTTATCATAGTGGTTGATACAGACAAAATCCCACAGAGAAAGCCTTCCTCTTGGTTTCAGGATTGGCTGCCGTCCAAATTTCACAGACTATAAACAATAAAAAAAAAAAAAAAACTTTCCATGGAGAAAAGTTAGGGATAGAACTCACTTGGGGTCCCCAACTTTCTGAGGAAGTGCTCAACCCATAAGTCAAAGCAACATTTTCATCAGCCCAAGGTGGCAGGCAGGATAAACGACCTGGCCGTGAATGCTCATGTTGAGAAGAAACTGTGCAAGAGGCCCTCAGGAAATACTTGTGGAATGCTGACTCCACTCCTATCCCAACAGACCCGGGCTGGAGAGGAAAGCCCCATTGAAGGTGTTACACCACAGTGGGAAGCTAAGCTCCTCCAACTCTGCCTGACTCCAGTGAAACACAATCACTTCATTGTTGACCTGTTGAAACAAGTTTCTGCTTTCACCAGCAGCCTAATTCGAGGTTCGTGCTTGCTGGGCTCTTGAGTTACATAAAGTGAAGGTTGAAGATGGCCCCGAGTCAGGTCCTAGTGCTAAAGCCTAATGCCGCCCTAGTCCAAGAGATTACAATTTTCTCTGTGATTACTGCTGCTCCAGGTGAGCAGATGTCCACATATTTTACACTCTATTTTTCTGAGGTGTTGATGTTTTCCAGCTTTTGAAGATGTAAATTTGTGATGTGTGAAATGGAAAGTACAGTACCAGCTTCTTTGAAAATCTGAAAGAAAAAAATAACCATTAAAAACATTCTTTCTCCTTGAGGTCATTGGGTTGAATCCACCTTGGGCTGGTTGTTACCGAACCACATGACTAAGACCGTAATTTCTAAATATCAAAGTTGCAGAGCATTGAGAAGAGAGAGAAAGTACTGCTGAGTGAAGACAGTGAGAAAAACGAGTTAATCAGACATCTCAGCAGCTGGTTCAGGTGGGGTCCAGCCCCCCAAAAAGGGGTTAATTGTTGCCAGGTGGCTCATAATAATGGTCTCAAAACACTAGAAGCTTGTGAGAATGAAATCTCCTTATTCATTTTCAACTAAAAAATACTGAAGACTGGTCTCGAGTAATGAAGAAGGAGGATTCATCCTCTCCTTCCCAGTGAATCATAGCCAGACCCTGCAGGAGAACCTTTTCTGGGCTCTGGGCTCTGAGACTAAAGTGGAGAGTACAGAGTTGGAGGTGACAATGGGTGACGTGACTCCCAGAATCCATGGAACCGTACAGTTAGGGTTCACAGCAGCCTAAAACATAGAGATCATCCCAGGAAAAGAAGTAGTGCTTGGAAATTTCATGAACATTTTAAAATCCCTAATAGAAGCTTTTCTGTGGGCCTACAGATGCTGGGTAATGCGTAAGACTCCTTCCCACACACTAGCTTCTCTGTACCTCCACCAGAGTTACAGATGGCCACATATTATGGAACAATCATTGAAACCACATATTAAGTTGATACTCGTGCAGAGGCCAAAGGGCTACCAGATATGTAAAGTGACTAACACAGTATAAGAAGTCAACACATGGTGGGTATTGCTACTATGATGTAATTGTTTGAAGCTGACCAAATTTTACCACTGGACTGAGCTCTCTAGAGCAGATACCTCTTAGAATGTCCTACTATTCAGGGCTCAACTTCTGAAATACAGCATCAATGTAGTCAGTGGTCACCAAATGTTTTTCAATGTATGAATGAATGGAAAAGTATGATATAACTATAACATGAAAAGAATGATCTTTCATTCCCTACATTAAATCAATACAGTTGCATTTACCTCTTGTAACTTTAAAAGCCATTCCTTACCAATGCTGCCACTGCTGTATTCTCAAGTCTAGCCTGGACTCTTCAAAAGTTTCCTAACTGGTCTCTCTTCCTTCCACCCATCTCAAGTCCTGTCCTAAGTTATGCATCACTTTGTAGCAAAAGGGATCTATTTAAAATTCATATCTGCTCATCATGTCGACCTCCTCCTTGAAAGATCAAAATGGTTCCACTGTTATTAAGATAAACTCTTTACCACGGTGTG